AGCTGGATGAAACACAAAATCCCCGGCACAGCCCGGACGAGCATTCAAGAGGTTCAAACACAAACTACCAAATACAGAAAACACTCCCCAAGGAGACGGTGCATGATCAGAATCAGTAAGCCACCACCATCGCCAAAGGGTCAGCCACCGCAAGAAGGGGCATCCAGAGGCACATAACCAGACGGGGGTTCATACTCGTCAGCCAAGGGGTCAGCTACTGCGTCAAAGGAGCATCCCGAGGTTTCACATCGGCGCATGATCAGAATCAGTAAGCCGCCACCATCGCCAAAGGGTCAGCCACCGCAAGAAGGGGCATCCAGAGGCACATAACCAGACGGGGGTTCATACTCGTCAGCCGAGGGGTCAGCTACCGCGTCAAAGGAGCATCCCGAGGTTTCACATTGGCGCGTGATCAGAATCAGTAAGCCGCCACCACAGCCAAAAGATCAGCTACCGCAAGATGGAGCATCCGGAGGCTTAACACCAGATGGGGGTGTGTACTCATCGGGCTTACAATAGGGGGCTTACCAGACGGGGGTTCATACTCGTCAAACACCAGATGGGGGTGTATACTCATCAGGCCTTACAGAAGGGGGCTTACCGGGCGGGGGTTCATACTCGTCAAACCAGGTGGGGGTTCGTACTCATCAGCTGAAGGGGTCAGCTACCGCGTCAAAGGAGCATCCCAGAAGCGCACAACACAACATTTCTCCAGAGGATCACCCGCCGCAAAGACGGAGTATCTGAAGGGCAACCGGGCAAGAGGGTCAACTCCTTTACCCTCCAGTCGATCACCTTAGCACAAAAGGCCAGCAATCGACTGGTCGGGTAAAGGGGGGGCAGCTGCAGACCCCAAATCTTGCTCGGCCTCCAAATAAAGACCAGAAGACCTCCTATTTGAAGATGGATGAAGCCTAACAAGCCATTAGGAGAGACTATTAGGCCCCATGCTAAGATAGGAGGGAGTTTCTGTACGAAAAATAAGTTTTCTCGCCTTGTTGGGATGAGACCACCCTCTGGATTCCCCAGACCGCCATCTCGCCTCACGCAAGTGGCGAGACCTCCGTCTCGCTTGACGAGACGGCGGTCTCGCCACCTGCGAAGGACGAGACGGCGGTCTCGTTTCCCCAGACGGTGGTCTCACCGCGTTTGGCAATCGAGACGGCGGTCTCGACCCTGTCAGACGAGACCGGCGGTCTCGCCACCTGACAGCGCGAAAACCTATAAATAGGGGTCCTCCCCCCCTCATTTCCACACACCACAAGCTTCTAGCTCTGCCTTCTCTCTAAAAACTTCTCTCTAGAATCCCTCCGACGCATTTCCGGAGTTTTTGAGTGTCTTTGAGAGCATTTTTCGGCGTTTAGAAGAGTTTCAGACGTCTTGTAGAGTGAAGGGCTGCCAAAAAGCACCCTCTTTTCAAAGAAATATAAAAACAAAGCTTGCTTCGGAGGTTTAATTTCTCCTTCTCTACTTTTATTACTTTAATTTAAATTATGCAATAGATTAGGGCCATGTAGTCGTAACTTTAAATTCCGCACAATAAAAAGGGCAAAAGAGTATTTTTCGATTTATTTATTAACATAAAAAGCTGGCCTATCATAGGGAACCTGAAAGGGGTGTAGTAAAAGAACTAATACTTCCTTTACCACGTAACTAACTCCCTTACCCAACTCTGGTTCTAATGACCAAAGTTGGTTTTCGAAAACCAACGCCTTTTAAAAACCTTTTTCGATGTTTCCGGTAAAAACATCGGTGGCGACTCCATAGAACCCAAAATAAACAAGTCCTTGGGTTAGCCCGGTTATCGGACAACCCAGGGACGCCTTTCGAAAACCTCGCCCCTAGGCTAGCCCGGTTATCGGACAGCCTAAAGACGTTGTAACCACCCATAAAAATGCAAAAACAAAAGGGTCAAAAAAACCATCGCGTCGCTCCGACCGCCTCTTTTCAGACGGCGGCGACAATAAGTTTATTGTTAAAATGGTTACCCTGAACATTGAAAATCACATTGTGTTTCATGAAAAATATATGTTGAGATCAACGAAGAAATTACCTAAACAATACAATTCACTGAGCAAAAGCTAAATTCTCTCAACAAAAATAAGGTAATATGTAATCTAACTTCCAAATTTGATAAAAGCATTGAGCAAAAGCTGAATTCGCCCAACAAAAATGTGGTAGTGAAGGATGCTTTTTAAATTTAAAGAAAAAAGGTTAATGGAAAACTGAACTTGCTTATCAAAAATACTATAATGGTTCTAGTCACTAGTGCAAAAAGGGCCTTTTACGTCAGGTATTTAGGGCTTTTTACGTCGTATTTAAGTCCAACGTTAAAACGGGAGACGTAAATTTACGTCGGACCCTTTAGCCCGACGTAGATTTACGTCAGTTATCAAGACCCGACGTAATTTTGCGTGGCATATACCACTAAACAGACGTAAAAACTTTCGAAAATAAAAAAAAAAACAGCAAATTTACGTCGCATATGGTATATGGGACGTAAATTTACGTCGCATATACAAATATGCGACGTAAATTTGCTGTTTTTTTTTAAATTGGGTTTATTTATTCTGTTTTACAACTAAAACCTGTAAATATTACAACCAGACAGTCCAGAGGTTCAGTTTTCTTTAGCTAGTAAATTAAAAATATAATATTATATAATTCAAACTAGATAATAAAACAATATAATACAAACATACAAACTAAAAAATCTATTACAAACTAAAAGTTAATACAAATTAAGCTACCTAAACTACATAATACACACAATATAATATGAACAAGAACTTAAAAAATTATGTACTAGAATTGTTGAACAAAAATTTTGCCCATTGTTCTCTAATTTGTGTAATATCAGATTCTGGTAATGGAGATGGATCTTGAAATACCTGAAACATGAATTTGACTCTTGTAAACATGCAACATGAATAAAGTTAAATAAACTTAACTAATGTTAAAAGTAATTACCTCCGTCCAAGAATCAATTAAACCCGCACAAACTATGACTCTCATTCAATACATTACATAGTAACCACATTCAAACGAGTCTGTTTGCTTATTACACTGAAATGATGAAAAAAACATAATATTGTTTTCAAAATTTAAATACAAACAATAATTATGGTATTCACTTATATAAATAAGTTTCTAACCTTAGGATAAATGAACTGCAAAGTCTTTGTTCTAGGTTTTCCACTTAGAACATTAGTTTCAGACACGATTCTAAGTGAAAAAAAGTCATATATTATTCAATATGTATTTACAATTTAAAAACATAATTAATGAATAAAAGATAAACTTACCCTTGTAATAAGCTTTTCATTTCTTGACTTGGTTTCCGATGTAATGAACAAAACCACACCACAAGTGTAATCCCGGGTATGATTACAATTAACTCGCCAATGAGACCTACATTGTATGACATAAAAATTAGTTACAAAAATATAAATTAAAATATAAATTAAAATACAAATTAAAATACTAACCCTTCAATGTATGGAGCCAAATATATATGTCTTTTTGAGTCACTCATCCATGTTTGCATATATTGTTGGATTCCAACCTTTGTATTTCCAGATTTTTGGATGGATTGAGGCTCAATAAATCCGTATACTTCGGATTTTTCTTGTTCCACACTCAATTTGTCCATGTACCTAAAACAATTAATTATAAGTTGAATATAATTATTATAATCTTAGAAACATAAATGAGAATGACTTACATTGCCCACAATTGTATGATGGAAATGTTTAACATGCAATTTCCCCCAGCAATTTCTAAAGCATCGGGCAAGGAAATGTATAATGGAATACTGGAACTGTCAATTCCAAACACTCTAACATCCCATTGTATCTGACACGGTCTCTTCCTCAACCGTGGTAATATGGTCAACAACATAGAGATGGGATCATCATCACATTCTGTCAGATCCTCATCAATAATAGGTTGTTTTTTATGCTTACCACGACGCAAGGCCTCCTAAACAAATGATAACAATGAATTAAACATTTATATAATTATAATAGTAGAAAAGAGAAAATAGACAATATATATATATATATATATATATATATATATATTACCTTGGTCTATGATGATAGTGGCATAACCAAACGTCTTGGCCAAGCCAAGAATGTCCCGCTTGCCTGCCCCACTAATTGAATCTCTTCATTAGGAAAAGGCACTGGAGCATTAGCATCATGAACTTCATCAACTACTACTCGTGTCCAGTCTGCCTGTAGAGGGACACCAAGGATGGTTAAGCCACCCTCAAAAACTCGACCAATAGCCACTAGACGCGGGGGGTCATCTTCAACATATAACTCACACTGGTGTGATGCATCAGTCTGAGTATATTCTCCTGAAGGATCAGCAGTAGTAGCAGCACAACTCCCTTTAGTGCTGACTCGAACAACATCATGTTCAATTGTTTGAGGTGTTCCTTGAGTCTGTTGCTGAGAGCGGGCGAGAGATTCAATTTTTTCATCAAACTCTTGCTGCAAGGACTGCCTTATTTGATTTAACTTTTCTTCCAACTGCATCTCCATTTTATGCAAGGCCTCCTGGCTGCAAGAGTCAGCAGTGGTCCTTCGTGATGTTGGACCAAAGTAATCACGAAGGCCCCAGGTTCCACCAGCACCACGCACACGTCCTGAGTAATCTGGTTTTCCTATGGCTGTCGCCAATATATCTTGTCGACCATGAGGAATAAATGATCCTTGGCTGGTCTGCTCAACTAAATCATCCTACAACACATTAACAATAATTAAGTCATACACTAACTTTCACATTAGAATCAATTCTGTTAAGGTTCCAACATAAAACCAATTGGCAATATGTGGAGTAGCCAAACATGTATTTAAACCATACCAAATGATATGAGGTAGGCGATGTGGGACTTTCAACACACCCCCTCCAACGCCTGCCGGACCAGGCAAAGGGTACTTTTGACCCAACTAAAGGGCAACTTTTGGCCCATGACAATAACCGGAAAGATGTTAGTCTTTGGCTCTGATACCAATGGTTTTAAACAAAATAGGAGCATAAAACACGATCACATTCATGCCAGTAAGTTGTTGGAAGAAAGGAATGGCCAAGGCAAATGTGAGTTGAGGCCTATATTGTCTCTTTAATAAAGAGGCCCAAGGGTGTTTCACTGCTTTTGAAGATTCGCTTGCTGCTACAAGATCTTCAAACTCTTGGTCAATATCTGTAGTTCCTCGAATCTTGATAAGTTCTTCCTTAGCCTTTTCACCAAAACCACGTTCAATCAAAGAGCTGGGTGAATCTTGAAGAAATATTGCACCAATAATGATCATGATCGCAGGCACTGCTGCAAAACCTAAACTGTAACGCCACCCTTCTCCATTCTCCATTTTGGCAAAAACGTTGTTGAGAACATTGGCCACGAAGATGCCAATGGTAATTGCCAATTGGAACATCATATTAAGAGCTCCTCTGTATTTGTAAGGAGCTACTTCGGACACATAGATTGGCACAGACTGATTAGCACATCCAATTCCAAAACCAAGCAAAATGCGACCAACAATGAGCATCCAAACATGTTCAGCAAAACCATTCAATGCAGCACCCGCAAGAAAAAGCAAACCCCCAGAGATCATGGTGATACGCCTTCCGAAGAGTCTAGTGACAGTGGAGGCTAAAACTGACACAACAAGTGCAGCCAAATACAAAGACGACGTGAACAACGTCAATGTCTGACTGTCAAATTTGCAGTATTGGTTATCAGAGGGCTTCAGATTATTCTCCTTTTCATACACTTTTGGGAAGAATTTCTTTAGAAAAGGATCCATAGAAGTCACACCACCTGATATACCAAGATCATAGCCAAATATTAGACCTCCAAATGCAGCTATTATACATGTTATGAAAATCCTGAATGTGAGGTTTCCTTCATAGTTCTTTGCTCCAGGAGGACTGGTTGAGACGATACCTCCTCCAGCCATTTTGAGTGATTAAGGAAAGGGAATGAACTTCGGCTTAATTAATCTCCAACGATGGTGCTCGAGGCTACGCTGATCTGTATTGACAATTCAGAATGGATGCGTAACGGAGATTACGCTCCTTCTCGATTTCAAGCCCAAGCAGACGCTGTCAATCTTATTTGCGGTGCTAAAACCCAGTCTAATCCAGAAAATACGGTGGGAGTTCTGACGATGGCAGGGAAGGGCGTTCGTGTCTTGGTCACCCCTACCAGTGATTTGGGCAAGATCTTAGCTTGCATGCACGGACTAGAAATAGGTGGTGAGATGAACCTAGCTGCTGGTATTCAGGTGGCACAATTGGCTCTTAAGCATAGGCAGAACAAGAAGCAGCAGCAAAGGATTATTGTCTTTGCTGGAAGTCCTGTTAAGCATGAGAAGAAAATGTTGGAGATGATTGGTAGAAAATTGAAAAAGAATAGTGTAGCACTTGACATTGTCAATTTTGGCGATGAAGAAGATGAAGGAAAGAATGAGAAGTTGGAAGCGCTCCTTTCAGCTGTCAACAATAATGATACTAGCCACATTGTTCATGTTCCATCTGGTCCGAATGCTCTTTCTGATGTACTAATAAGTACTCCTATTTTTACTGGTGATGGTGAAGGTGGAAGTGGTTTTGCAGCAGCAGCTGCTACTGCAGCAGGTGGTGTATCTGGATTTGAATTTGGGGTTGATCCAAACTTGGACCCTGAGCTGGCTCTTGCTCTAAGAGTTTCAATGGAAGAAGAGAGAGCCAGACAGGAAGCAGCTGCCAAAAAGGCAGCAGAGGATGCTTCCAAACAGGAGAAAGGTGGTGAACAGAAGGATAGCACACAGGATACAACAATGACTGAGGGTGCCAATGCATCAGCTTCTGAAGCTGAGACTAAGAAAACTGATTTGACAGACGATGAGAATGATCTACTACAGCAGGCTTGTCGCCGCCTCCCTGAAAACGGGGGCGCGGTCGGAGCGACGTGATGGTTTTTCGACTCTCTTCTTTGATTTTCACGTTTTTTATTGGCGGTTACAACGCCTTTAGGTTGTCCGATAACCAGGCTAACCGAGGGGCGAGGTTTTCGAAGGTGTCCTTGGGTTGTCCGATAACCGGGCTAACCCAAGGACTTATTTATTTTGGGTTCTATGGAGTCGCCACCGATATTTTTACCATAAACATCGGAAAAGGGGTTTAAAAAGGCGTTGGTTTTCGAAAACTAACTTTGGTCATTAGAACCAGAGTTGGGTAAGGGAGTTAGTTACGTGTAAAGGAAGTGTTAGTTCCTTTACGACGCCCCTTTCGGGTTCCCTATGATAGGCCGGCTAAATTGAATGAATAATTAAACTGGCAAATAGCGCTTTTACCCTTTTATTATACGGTATTTAGAGATTATGACTACATGGCCCTAGTATCTATTGCATATATTTAAATGAAAGCAGTAAAACGATAAGGAGAGAGAATGTGCACCTCCAAAGCAAGCTTTATATATTCTCTTTAAAAGAGAGGGTGCGTTTTGGCAACCCTTCACTCTACAAACTCTCAGAAACTCTGGAAATGCCTCGGAGGGATTCTAAAGAAGGTTTAGAACGCTCAGTTTATGCCTAAAGACACTCAGAAACTTCAGAAATGCCTCGGAGGGATTCTTAGAGAGAGAAAGTCTAGAGAGAAGGGAGAGCTGTTGATTCTGTGTGTGGAAAGAGGGAGAAATGACGCCCCTATTTATAGTTTTTCGCCCCTGACAGGTCGAGACCGCCGTCTCCGCTGACAGGGTCGAGACCACCGTCTGGAAAGTCCAGACCGCCGTCTCGTTCGTGGCAGCGGGTCAAGATTGCCGTCTGGAAAATCCAGACCGCCGTCTCGACTTGGTAGGAATCGAGACCGCCGTTTGGAAAACCCAGATCGTCGTCTCGAATTTGCGGGTGACGAGACCGCCGTCTGGAAAATCGAGACGGCGGTCTCGTCCTGGCGTTGAAACGAGACGGCGGTCTGGTATTCCCAGACGGCGGTCTCGTCCCTTTAGGGCGAGAAACTTTATTTTCGGGCAAAAAAACCTTCCTATCTTAGTACGGGGGCCTAATAGTCTCTCCTAATGGCTTGTTAGGCTTCGGCCGTCTTCAAAATAGGAAGCTTTCTGACTTTATTCTGAGGCCGGGCAAGATTTGGGGTCTACAGCTGCCCCCCCTTTACCCGACCAGTCGACTGCTGGCCTTTTGTGCCGAGGTGATCGACTGGAGGGTAAATGAGTTGACCCTCTTGCCCGGTTTCCCTTCAGATACTCCGTCTTTGCGGCGGATGACCTTCTGGGGAGATGTGTTGTGCGCTTCCGGGATGCTCCTTCGACGCGGTAGCTGACCCCTTCGGCTGATGAGTATGAACCCTCATCTGGTTTGACGAGTATGAACCCCCGCCCGGTAAGCCTCCTTCTGTAAGGCCTGATGAGTACACACACCCATCTGGTGGTTAAGCCTCCGGATGCTCCATCTTGCGGTAGCTGATCCTTTGGCAATGGTGGCGGCTTACTGATTCTGACCATGCGCCGATGTGAAACCTTGGGATGCTCCTTTGACACGGTAGCTGATCCCTTGGCTGACGAGTATGAACCCCCGTCTGGTTATGTGCCTCTGGATGCCCCTTCTTGCGGTAGCTGATCCTTTGGCGATGGTGGCGGCTTACTGATTCTGATCATGCGCCGCTTCACTGGGGAGTAATTTCTGTGTTTGTGGTTTGGACCTTTCTGGAATGGTTATCCGGGTTGCCGGAAATCTGGTTTGCTGTTCATCCAGCTTCATTGGTTGCTGGGGATTTTTGCTTTTGATTTTTGTGTTGGTTATCCGACCCTTGCTGGTTGGTCGGGTTTTCTTTGTTTTGTTCAACTTTTGCTTGGCAGTCAAAAATTTTGTTTGGTTAATCCTGCCTTTTTCTCGCGGCTTTATCTCTTTTTTCTCGCAATTTTGGATTCTGGCTTTTTATTGAGCACATGCCTTTTTCTTTTTTTTAAGCTTCTTTTTGTTACGCTGGCTTTTTGCAAAAGAAGGCAAGAGAATGCGGGAAATAAAATTTTATTTATAGGAAATTTTATTACAGCGATTTTTCAACCAGTACAGTCCCTAAGAGTCATCATCATCAGAAGGAGTGCGGTGGGGGAAATGTTTATACATGTGGTAGGAAGTCGATTTGTTCTTGGAGTTCGTCGTTGTAATCCTCCTGGTACGCCGCCCACTCCTGCCGCATCCTCTGCTGCTCTTGGCGGATCTCGTTTTGGCCCTCTTGAAGGGCCTGTTGGCGAACGTCTTGGTCCTGTCGCCACTGGGTCTGCTGCTCCTGCCATATCGCCATTTGGCCGAGCTGCTGGCTCAGGTCGTAGATTGTGGGCCAGCTCTTCCCGGCCGGGGCACCCCATTCGCTCTGCTAGAGGGGTGATGAGGGGAGCCACAAGGATGGCCCCTGTGGATCTACTCCCAAAGTCCTTCAGGGCCCTCAGGAGGAAGTACCCGGGATTGCAGCGCCGTCTCTGGTGCATGCAATAGAGAATGAAGAGGTCAGGGAGCGATATCTTCCCCTGACTCTCTTTTCTGGCGTGGACGGTGCCTGCCAGCAGCTTGTGGCAGATGCGGAGTGGTGGGGGGAGTGCAGACCCCCTCATCAATGAAGGCAATGTGGTGGCCCCAGTGAGCTCATGCCACATCTCAGCAGCGGTGAGGTTGGTGGGCCTAGAGCAAATGGCCTCACGGTACTCCCGAGTTAACGCCGCCTCGGGCCGGATGAATCCAATGGAAACATTGAATTCCTCCAAAGTGCTAGTGTGGTATTGCCCACCCATAAAATAGTTGACCATTTTGGTGGGCTGCATGCCTGGGGCCATGGAGGGGATCTCAATGAGGGAGACCAAGGCCAGAAACTCGAGTACCGCTTGTGGGTACACATGAACAGGTGGAGGCTGTAGCAGAAAACCCCACCTGATGTTATCAATGTGTGCTCGGACGTCCTCCTCCCATCCGAACTCAGCCAAGATGCTGAAGTCCAGTGTCAGCAGGGAGTGCCACTGGTAATTTCTGAGGTTGTCCAGGCGGGCCTGGTGTTGTGGTTGAAGTTGAGAAGGGTCTGGGGGTGGCGATGGTGTTGAACTGCTAGCACCAGCGGTGGCCCTTCTCTTCCGAGAGCCGCTTCTACTGAACATCTTGAGTGGGGAAGGCTTGGAGTAGTAGAATGGGAGTTTTGGAGGCTTAGGAGGTAAGGAAAGTTGTGAGGAAACCCCCCAAGCGCGCCCCCTTTATATAGGATTTTCTTTCAGGTCGAGACCGTCGTCTGGGAAGTCGAGACGGCGGTCTCGTTTTGCCTACAGGTCGAGACGGCGGTCTCGATAACCCAGACGGCGGTCTCAACTTTGCCTAAGTCGAGACGGCGGTCTGGTTTCTCGAGACGGCGGTCTCGATTTGCAAGGGAACCGAGACGGCGGTCTGGAATATCCAGACGGCGGTCTCGAATTTTCGATTTTTTTTTTTTTTTTTTTTTTGCATAAGGAATAGGACCTGGTTCAAAAACATTTTATGCATGCAGATGTTTTCATGTTTGATGTCCTATAATGCTTACTTTGTTTAATATTTCAGAAGGACTTAACCAATGTGTCTTGTAGCGCCGAGTGCCTCCTGATCTGTGCTTTTGTACATGCTGTACCATACCGGACTTTTTGTGACCGAAGAGTAGTTTCTTTCTTTCTCTTTTCTTTTTCTTTTTGTAGAGCACTCTTTGTCATGCAGTGTCCCTTTTTCCTTGCTTTAGGGATTTCAATCCTCTTGTTGACTATACGCCTCCATATTCCCAAATTAATTATTAGAATATTGTCGTGAGGGTCAAGAGAAAAGAAGCAAAAGGGGGTAAAAATCAATGGTTTGTGTTTTAGAGGGTTGATTTTTATTGATAAAGAATTTGTAAGAATGGCTGGCTAGGGTTAAGCCTAGGTGTTTAAGCTTTGTCTAAGCAAACATTTTCCTCTTTCTTCTTTTTGTATTTGCGCTCTCAGGTTTTATTTTCATTGCTTTTTAGATAGCTAGCTGATTTCCCTAGATCGCCCTTTGGGTTTTCGAACTAGGATACTGTGTGTTGGCCCTATCTTTTATCTAGGTTCTCTCTCTTGTAAAATTTTGGAGGAATCCTAGTGGACCTTTATTTGTAACCCTAACTTTTGTCTAGGTTACCCTTTATTGTTGTTCGGGTATCCTACCGGGTTGACCCTATCTTTTGCGTAGCCCCCTTAGTGGGTTTCGTACCGGGTAATTTGCCCTTTTCTTTGGCCTTTGGCTTCTCTGGGCTTTTTCTTTGTTTTTTGTTGTTGTTTTTTTTTTGTATTTATTTTTTTGTTCACAGTATTGGCGAAGCGTAACTTCCTTCATGGCTTAGGTGAAGTCTTTGTTTTTATGTGCTTCTAATCAGCTAACTTGATGATGATGGCAATGATGAAGGTTTGATTATTTGGAAGCGCTTGTTATTCTTCTTTTCTTTTTATGTTTACTTAGACAGGGTTATTTATGTGGTCCAGTCAGAAGTAGAAAGAAGCAGATAGAAAGAATCATTCTTTATTAATTAATAAGGGAATATGTGCCCTGAAATGCCCGGGGGTCGGGCTCGCCCCGGGGGATAATCTCTAATAATCATGGGGTTTACATCCCTTAAACAAAGAAAAAGATTTCCTAATGACTAGAGTGGCTCTCGACACTTGCACCCCTCCACTTCGGAAAATCTGCTTGAGTGTGCGGAGGGGGGACTTCCCTTTTGCTTTTCCCGCTCGGCCCTTGAACGGGTTATATCCTAGGCCATACTTGTGGGGATTGTTTTTGAATTCCGGGGGTTCCCTCATTCCTTGGGAATCTGCCCCCAGTCCTTGACCAGGATGGTAGCCATGCTTCAACATCATGCGGGCTACCTTTGTATTTCTGGGAAGTCGCTCTATACTAGCAATTTCAAGCGCTTGAAAAGATGTTTCAAG